TATTTATTTTAAAGATTTTATTTATTTATTTGAGAGAGAGAGAATGAGAGAGAGCAAGCACATGAGAGGGGGGAGGGTCAGAGGGAGAAGCAGACCCCCTGCTGAGCAAGGAGCCCGATATGGGACTCGATCCCAGGACTCCAGGATCATGACCTGTGCCGAAGGCAGTCGCTTAACCAACTGAGCCACCCAGGCGCCCAATCCCCAACAAATTTAAAAGAATGGAAAACAGAGTGTTCTCTGCATTAATAAAATCATAAGAATAAAGACATAAAAACCTTTATAAAAATATTAACAAATAGATTTCAGCAATATATAACAAGAATCATATACCATAATTAAGTGGGATTTATTCCAGAGATGCAAGGCTGGTTTGCTACTAAAAAAGTCAATGTTACTTGTCAGATTAATGGACTAAAAAAGAAAAGTCACACGATCATGTCAATTGATACAGATAAAGCATTTCACAAAACTCAACACATTTATGATAATATCTCTTAGAAAACTAGGAACAGGGGAGAATTTTCTCAACTTGATAAAGTGTACCTATAAAAACTTTCCAGGTAGCTACCATTATACTTGATTGTGAAAGAAGTATAATGTTATCCCCCCAAGACCAGGAAGAAAGCAGGGATGTCCATTCTCAGCACTGCTAGTCAATATAGCACTAGAGGCTCCAGACAGGACAATTAGTCAAAAAAATAAATAAAATACCTACAAATGAAAAGGAAGAAATAAAACTGTCCTTGTTTGCAGATAACGTAATTGTCTATGTAGGAAATCCCAATAAATTGAAAACAACAGAAACCCAAAAAAGTCCTAGATTTAATAAACTTATATAGCTACAGTAATCAAGGTTATGTGGTATTGGCAAAGGGACAGACACATAGATAAATGGAACAACATTGAGAATTGAGAAATTGACCCACGAAAGTATGGCTAACTGATTTTTGACAGAGATGCAAAGTAATTCAACATAGGAAGGACAGTCTTTACAACAAATGGTAATGGAGCAATTGGATATCCATAAGCAAAAAAAAAAAAAAAAAAGGCGGGGGAATCACAGCCTAAACCTCACACTTTATACAAAAATTAACTCAGAGTGGATTGTAGATATAAATGTAACTATAAAAATTTTAAAAGATAATATAAGGGAAAATCTGCAAAACCTAGAGCTTGGTGAAGAGCCTTAGACCTGACACCAAAGCATTATCCATAAAAGAAAACTTTGATAAATTGGATTTCATAAATTTTTTTTAATGTTCTGCTAAAAATCTGATTAAGATGATGAAAAACAAGCTACTGACTGGGAGAACATATTTGCAAACCACATATCTGACAAAGGACTCATGTCTAGGATATATAAAGACTCTCAAAACTCAACTATTAGAAAGCAAATAATCCAATTAAAAATGGACCAAAGACATACATAGCCATTTTATGGAAAAAGATATACAGTTGACAAATAAGTACATGAAAAGATGTTCAACATCACTAGCCATTAGGGGACTGCAAATTAAGATCACTTTGTTGGGGGGACCTGGGTGGCTCAGTCATTAAGCATCTGCCTTCGGCTCATGGCATGATCCCAGGGTCCTGGAATCGAGCCCCACATCGGGCTCCCTGCTCAGTGGGAAGCCTGCTTCTCCCTCTCCCACTCCCCCTACTTGTGTTCCCTCTCTCTGTCAAATTAATAAAATCTTTTTTTTTTTTTAAAGATCACTTTGAGGTATCACCACATGCCTACTAAAACAGCTCAAGTAAAATGGCTGACCAGGTAGAGGAACTGGATCACTCATGGATTATTGGTGAGCATGTGAAATGGTACAGCCACTCTGGAAAACAGATTGGCAGTTTCTAGAAAAAGTAAACATGTAATTATGATACAACCCAGCAATTTCAGTCTTGGTCATTTATTCTAAAGAAATGAAAACAATGGTCACACTAAAACTTCTACATTGATATTCATAGCAGCTTTATTCATAATTGCCAATACATAGAATCAGCACAGATGTCCTTTAGTGGGCATTGTTTAGAATTGTCAGTGCATTGTGATAATAAAGAGCAGGCCAACTTTAGTTGGTTCTATGATTATTTTTTAAATATCTACACACAATGTACCTTTTATTGTCTGCACCCAGGGTGGACTGTTTCCACTTTCCTGCCCTTGGTATACCACTGCTGAGAGGTAACAGTAGTATACCACCAAAGCCTCAGTTCCCTCCACTAAAGCATGGGCCAGACTCCCCCCACAGAAACTGACATCAGAAATAGCATTAAAGAGGGGTGCCTGGGTGGCTCAGTCAGTTAAGTGTCTGCCTTCGGCTCATGTCATGATCTCAGGGTCCTGGGATCAGGCTGTGATGAGCTCTCTGCTCAGCGGGAAGTCTGCTTCTCACTCTCCCTCTGTGTTCTCTGTCTCTCACTCTCTCTCAAGAAATAAACAAATAAATAAATAAATAAATAAATAAATAAATAAATAAATCTTAAAAAATAAAGAAATAGCATTAAAGAGAGACTGTTTCTGAAACCCATTTTCATAACTGTTTCCCTCCTCTAACCAGGAGTCTTGGGCCTTCTGCCCCTTAATCAAGGTTTCTAGTCCTTGCTATTTCTTGCCACAGTGGACAATTGAAGAATGCTCCAAAACACCATGGATACAGGCAGACATTGTGGCTTTCCTGGGCCTCATATCCAAAGGATGAAGCTGCCATTTTGCTGGTGACAGCCCTCCTTCTCAGAGAGAGGAAATAACACTGATGCTTTAAGGAAGACTGTGCCTTTGATTTTCCAATTAGAGGGAGCACTTGACTATGAACCAATCAGGTGAAAAGTCTTTGCTTTATTTTGATTTAATCTGGGACCGTAGTGTCTCTCCTGCCTTAAAACATGAGGTTCTATAAGCAGAATTAAGCATGGAGGAAGGAAGGAGAGGATAACGTAAAAAGCACTCATCCAAGCAGGGAAAGATGTACCATGCTGGTTTCTATGAAGTGTTAGTGAGAGTCCTCTCACCCTGATTTCATTTAGTAGTCGTTGGCATCTTAATTGAATTGGGTACAAATTAGGAGTTCTATTAGCAGTTCTATATAATTATTTATATTGAAATTATGAGGTGGGTTATGCTAATAATTATTATTGTAATCTTAGTAACTGCTAATATGTCTTGCTGCTCATGCTAGTACATGTACACATATGCACACAAATGCACACATGCACATGCACACACACAGACCCTACTCATTGTAGACTTTTTATAACAAAGTTAAAACAACTGTGGGAGATAACCATAGCAGAAGAGTTGGGCAGAGTGGGGAGAGAAGGGTACTATAATTTGTTGACTGCTCACCAAGTGCCACATATTCTGCTTGGGGACTTTACATGTCTTATCTCATTTAACCCTCACCACATAACCAGTAAAGTAGGTGCTATTCTTATTCCTGTGTTACTAATGAGGAAGCTAAGACCGAGAGAAGTGAGATAATTAGATTTATGTCACTCTCTTGATGCTTGAAATACTACAATGATTCCCCCTCTCCCTAAAGATAAAAGTCCTAAATCCTCATCTCAATCTCCAGGCCACATTCTGGCATCCTCCCTAATTTCATCTCAGGCCTCCTCCCTCTTATAGTAAATGCTCCAGCCACACTGACCTTTGTTTAATTCCTCTGATGTGCCATATTCTTTTCTGCTCCAAGGACATTACCCATGCTGTTCTTTCTGCCTGGACTGCTTTCCTCTGTGACTACCTGCACTCACCAGCTACATCCTACTCATTTTCCAGGTCTTAGCTTAATGTCACATCCACAGATTCTCAGGGAAGCATCCCCTGACTGCCCTCTTTACTCTAAAATGTCCCTCAGACTATGTTAGATCCCTTTGTTGTGTTTTTCTATTGCATTCTACATCTCATCCCTACTACTCATCACATAGTTTTTCATAAAACAATGCGTTCAGGAATTTAAATTTAAAAAAAAAAAAAACCTGTACAGTGTCCTTTTTTTTTTTTTTGGCCATTCTTAAAATTTTATTGTAGAGGAAATTCTGAGATCACAGTTTTTCAGTCTGTGTCTGCCATTCCTTTCTACATTACTACCTTAAATGCTCTTCCTGATAATATAGACTTTAACCTTCTAGTTCTTTTTAATTTAAATTCAATTAGCCAACATATACTACATCAACAGTTTCAGATGTAGTGTTCAGTAAGTCATCAGTTGTATGAAACACCCAGAGTTCATCACATCACATGCCCTCCTTAATGCCCATCACCCAGTTGCCAATCCCCCCACCCACCTCCCCTTCAGCAACCCTCAGTTTGTTTCCCAGAGTCAAGAGACTCCCATGGTTTGTCTCACTTTATAAATTCTTCCCATTCAGTTTTCCCTCCCTTCCCCTATGATCCTCTGTGCTATTTCTTATATTCCACATATGTGTGAAACCATATGGTAATTGTGTTTCTCTGATTGACTTATTTCATTACCATAATACCCTCCAGTTCCATCCATGTCGATGTAAATGGGAGGTATTCATCCTTTCTGATGACTGAGTAATATTCCATGGTATATATAAACCACATCTTCTGTATCCATTCATCTGTTGAAAGATATATTCGTTCCTTCCACAGTTTGGCTATTGTGGACATTGCTGCTATGAATATTGGGGTGCAAGCGCCCCTCCGTTTCACTAAATCTGTATCTTGGGGGTAAAGTGCAATTGCTGGGTTGTATGATAGCTCTACTTTTAACATCCTCAGGAACCTCCATATTGTTTTCCAGAGTGGCTGTACCAGCTTGCATTCCAACCAACAGTGTAAGAGGGTTCCTCTTTCTCCACATCCTCACCAACATTTGTTGTTTCCTGTCTTGTTAAATTTAGCCACTCTAACTGGTGTAAGGTGGTATCTCATTGTAGTTTTGATTTGTATTTCCCTGATGAGCAGTGATGTGGGGCATTTTTTCATGTGTCTGTTGGGCATTTGTATGTCTTCTTTGGAGAAGTGTCTGTTCATGTCTTCTGCCCATTACTTGACTGGATTATTTGGTTTTTGGGGGGTGTTGAGTTTGATAAATTCTTTATAGATCCTGGAAACCAGTGTTCAGGGTCCATTTTAGTCACAAGATGAAGCATCCTGTTCACAGACTATTCTATTCATTGCCCTGTCCCTAGCAAGTGGTACAGTGCATGGTGCATGATAAATGTCCCTAAAATATCTCCTGAATAAATGGACTTTATATATAAATCCTATGTAATTGGCATAATAGATGCTCAATAAATATAAACTATAAATATAGCTGTTATTATTATTAATTTCTCTTTTTTCTTTATTTTTATTAAGTTCAATTAGCCAACATATAGTACATCATTAGTTTTTGATGTAGTATACAGTGATTCCTTAGTTGCATATAACACCCAGTGCTCATTAGATCATGTGCCCTTCTAATGCCCATCACCCAGTTACCCCATCTCCTATCGCCCTCCCTTCTGTAACCCTCAAGTTTGTTTCCCAGACTCCAGAGTTGCTCATGGTTTCTCTCCCTCGCTGATTTCTTCCCATTCAGTTTTCCTTCCTTTCCCCTATGCTCTGTTGTGCTATTCCTTATATTCCATATATTAGTGAATCCATATGATAATTGTCTTTCTCTGCTTGACTTATTTCACTTAGCATAATACCCTCCAGTTCCACCCATGTTGATGCAAATGGTAGGTTTTCATCCGTTCTGATGGCTGAGCAATATTCCATTGTATATATGAACCACATCTTCTTTTTTTTTAATTTTATTATGTTATATTAGTCACCATACAATACATCATTAGTTTTTGATGTAGTGATCCACGATCCATTGTTTTTGTATAACACCCAGTGCTCCATGCAGTACGTGCCCTCCTTAATACCCATCACCGGGCTAACCAATCCGCCCTCCCCCCTCCCCTCTAAAACCCTGTTT